AGAGGAAGGAGAGGGGAGTAGATGGGAAGGAGAGGGGAGAGGTGGAGAACAAAGGGGAGAGGGGTGGGGAGCGGGGTAGGAGGAGAGGGGATTCGAGGAGAGGAGAAGAAGCAAGCTGTGGCGACTCTCACTTGTCATCCCAACACTCAAGAGGGTGAGGCAAGAATGAGTTTGAGGTTGGCCTGGGCTGTATAGTCAGTTTTAGAAAGTTCTGTCATATGTTTCTCCTTTGGTGTTTTTTTATTCTTGGCTTCTGGCCTTAAAGGCTCTGTTGTCTGTATTTGCTGTGTAGCTTTCTAACTTGACTCGCCCTTCAATAAAAGCTGGGGGTGGGGAACTCCAAATCAAAACAACCAGAAAAGACTAGAAAAATGAGCACTACCATTGTGATGACCATCACAGAAGAAGGGAATAAGTTCAAAGAATCCAGAATTACAGTTAGTGAGTCCCTGAATTCACTACCATGTGCCTTAGCTTCAAGTTCTGAATTTCTTCTTCAACTGCCTTATTTGATTTCATTTTCCTGAATCCCCAAGTAGCTACTTCTTTCAATTTGTACAGAAATTTTACTTGTACGCAGTGGGAGACAAGGTAAAGCATACAGTGTGATTACCTATATGCAAAATATATGTATATATATATATATATATACTTTTTAAAAAAGACTGTAAAGCTCAAATTATCATCATGATTACCATGGACTGGTGAGATTATGTTTCCCCCTCTGTTTGCTATTTGCTAGATGTTTTGTAACACACCTTCCTCAGCTTCTTCCAAATCTCTGATTAGCTGAGTCTTTTCTGAAGGAGCATGTAGTTTACAACCATTGGAAACCATTAAACCCTGTAAAAGCTGCTTTCAGCTGCAAGAAACAGAAATCACCAACTCAGTGGCTCAAACAATAATGAAGTATATTTTTAACATAATAAAAACCCCCAGGAAAGTCACGGCAGGGCTTTATGTCATCACCTGCTAGCCCTAAGTTTGGCTTTGGTCACAACAGCATCTAGTGGCTGAAAACGGGCCATGTCTTTCTTTGCATTATTTAGTGTTTGGTTTGATTGCTAATGGCAAAAAATCTAAAATAGTAGTAGCTTGGGTGTGGTTTCTTTTCTGTTGTATCATGCAGAGTATGCATCCCCCAGAGCATCCACGGTCCAACTACCCACAGTTGTTCATACTGTGCACAGCAGAGTGGAGAAAGGAGGAATAGGTAAAGGGCCAGTCAGCAGTCTGCCTCTATTGCAAGAGCCAGAACTTACCAGGTCAGGCCACAATGGCTCCAGAAATGGATTTCTGATTCTGGGTGCCCCTGTATCCCTCTAAACTTTCTACCACTGTTACATAAGTGGTAACTGCAAGTAGTCACATCATATCTCCATATCTCTCAATAACCCAGATGCCACCAGCAGACTTCTGCTTCTGCATTATTACCTGTCCACGCCTTAGCCAATCCTAGTAAGGACGGGAGCCACTGAAACAGCTATGCTGAGTAAGGCGCACCTTGCGGTTGGGCTAGCCTCTCCCGAAGGATGTGGCTTCCAGGAATAGAGTAGATACTGAGTGAGCTCAGAATCCTTAGGAAGAAGGAAAGACTGTAGCAAAAGCAGGGGCCCAGAATGGTTTGGGTAGGAAAGGCCACCTGTATGCCCTTCCTATGGAAGACAACGGTCCAGATCCCTGATTTCGGAGGGTGCAATCGGAATGTTTATCGGGGACGTTCTTCTTACAGTCACAGTTCTCCACTGCTGCCCAAAGCAATGTGGATTTCTTTTGTATAGTGAGGGAAGATGAGGGAAAGGGAGTGAAACACTTGCCCCAAATCTATTAGTGCTTGTGGTTCCTCACCTCTGCTTCTCCTGCTTCAGTCACACAATACTTTGTGTCCAGAAGTATTGATCTGATAGGCTTCCCAGCATAGAATAATACCTGTCCCACACCTAGGGCTGACTAGAAAGAATCCTAAAGAGTAATATAGAAAAACAAACTCGAGTTTAGAATTTAGGGTGTTTTGTTTAGCATACATATATGTGCTTTTCGGGGAGTGGGCATGGAAAGTAGGCATTATAAGAAAGGCTGGAGAAAGGGATGCAGGAAATGGCTGTGACTGAGAGAAACAGTACCGGGCATGCGGGGGAGGTAGTACCGGGAGGGAGGGAGGGAGGAGTCGTGTGTTTTTGTCACTATTACGTTGCTATGGTAATGAAGCAAAACTGGGCTGCTAGTGCTCTGTCGGTTTGCATTGAATGAAGGACTAAATATGTGCAAATCAGATGACAGATTAAGCCTATAGTGAATCAAGGGGACAGTCTAAACTGCCTCATCTAAGACTTCGTTATCACCTTTATAAGAACTGTACCCCACTGGGACACGATTTAAAGAAAATTTCAAAGATTTATAGAGTAATTTTGAAATTTCTTCACATGAATTGACAGTGAATGAAAACTTCACAATTACGAAGTATGTGTTTACTGTAGAAAAAGAAATATAAGAATACAGAAAATGATGAAAAAGACACCTGATCCTGTCTGTCAATTTGTTGATAGGCAACTCTTCAACCTTTCTATCTCCATGTTTTTGCTGAGATTGCAGCTTATTATTGGATGTTAGATGTTGGGGTTGGTTCTAGTTTTCCACTGTTTCAGAGAAGATTTCAAGGGAGAAACTGTGAAATATTTTGTTACACTCCACTAAGTACCTAAAGCTAGCCTTGATACATTGTATCTATCCAACAAATAGGAATTACCTTGATTAGCTTGGTATGGTTAATAATGATTATTCACTTATCAATTGGGGTTGCTGCTGAACTATTAGAGAATGTGCTCCACAGTGATTGGATTCAGGTGGACAGCTGAGGGCTTTATAGCCTTCTACCAGAGGTGTCTCAAGGACAGCTTTTTTTTTTTAAATGGCTTTCAGAAGAAAAAAAAATCAGGTTTGCATAAAAATCATCTGCTCAGTCATAATTTGGAGATGCCAGCTCATACACCTAAACTCATCAGGAGTGGGTGAATTACAACACATTTATTAATTGAGAGTAGGAAATAGGTTTGTGGACTGGAATCCTGGAGGACACTGAAGATGAGAGTAAGTGTGAATATGAGACTGGTCATGGTGGAAACGTGAGATGAGGAAAGGCTGTGACTACACAATGGAGTTTCCGCAGCGATGGTCAGGAGGCTCCTGAGTTACACACTTCCAGGATACGGCTATGAGAATAAGTCATCACAAGGTGATGGGTGGTAGGTAAAGAGGGCATAGCACTCTTACAACTTTGGAGAGATAGTCCTTCAATTAAATAGTCCTAGAAGACGCTGTGCATCCTCTGGACCACAAGACTGGGTGTGTCTTGCAAGGCCATTAGAATCCCTATACAGGAGTTTTTCATGCTAGGCTGGGGAAGTGAGTGGAAGAGGGAAGAGGTGCTCCCTCTGAAGGCTGAACTCTCCTTCATGTGCTTCCCAAATTCCCAGGAAGGAAAAGTCCAGTTCTCCATTCCACACCCCCCCCCTTCCTGGGAGACTGAGCATGGCTTCTAAAATGGGATAAGATTCCTTTCCTCGTGGGTAGATGATCATAAAATGCAAAGCTGAGGACTCATTTCTCCCTCTTTTCATAGAAATATGGACATTGTTTCAAGATGAACCTGCATCTCATGCTTTGTTCCAATTTCCTCTTTCCCTTTTCTCTATGTATGTATGTATGTATCTATCTGTAAAAACGGGTCCTCCCAAAGTTTTCTTTCAGTTTATTTCTCTGACCACCGTACTTACTGCTTGGAGGTATTTACACACACTTAGCAAATTAGGTTGACTGAGAATTCCTTTAGTATAGGCTATCTTAGTTTACTAGCTATTTGATTTATTTGAATTAGTGGGTCCAAATACTGTTTGACATTTCACGTTGATTTTTTTCTTTTCTTTTTTTTTTGAAATAGGGTCTTCCTGTAGCCCCAGCTGTCCTGGAACTCACTATGTAGACCAGGCTGGCCTTGAACTCTGCCTCCCGAGTGCTGGGATTAAAGGAGTGTGCCACCACGCCCGTCCCTCACATTGATTTTTTTTTAGAGTGTTTTACAGATGGTTAATCTGTTTGTCAAATTTTTGCCTTTTATCATCTCAGAAGTTTTAGTGTCTTTTCTTATGACTGTTAAGGATGCTTATTATTCAAAGAGTAAAGGAAAAAAGCCATAAACCTGTGCTTGGTGGGGAGGAGGTTAGACTGGAGATGGAGATTTTCCATCTTACTGAAGCTTTGAGGCTATGTTTTTATTCTGAGCCATAGGTAGCATATCATCCTCATGTGCGTATGATGTGTGGATGTACATATTTGCATATAAACCTATAAATAGCATCATCATGTATGATTATTGAGGTAGCACCTTCAAAAGCATGTTATTTACTAAGAGACACAATTTGAGTTCTGTGGGAACAATACTAAGGAAGTCTGACTAAGATCATTCCAGAACCAGGTAATCTCTTTTTCATGTCAGGTATTTCTCTGTATTTTAGTTTGTTGAATAAAGAGACATTAACAAATATATGTTAATAAACTCTGAATTAAGGCTGGGGAATGTAACTCATTTGGTAGAGTGCTTGATTAGCATACACAAAGCCCTGGGTTTGATCCCCCAGCACAGCATAAAACCAGGCACAGAGGCACATACCTGTAATCCCAGCACTTAGGGTGTTCAGGGAGGAGGATCAAAAGTTCAAAATCACCCTCAGATACATAGCAAGTTTGAAGTCAGACTGGATTACATGAAATCCTGCCTCCAGAAGTAAATAAAATGATAAAAAAAAAAAGATATATAAAACCTGAATCAATTTCTGGCTCACTTGTAGTTGAAGAATATTAAAAATTCTAGAGTGTGAGCCTGACCTTCATGATGACACATAGGAAAGAAGTGCTTCTAGGACTGATGCCCTTGAACTCCCTGTTCGGCCTGGCAGCCAAGCAGAGATCTGAATATTCATAAGGTTTCCCCTCCCTCTACTCACATTTCCACGTAGTGTTCAAGGAAGCCCGTCCAGGCACCCTCAGGATTCCAGCAGGGGGCGCTGTTGTCTAATGCAAGGTCTATTGTTAGCTTGGTTATCGCTTCTAATCGGTTCTAAGCTTTGCCCTTTCCCAAGATTTAATCTGTTTAAGTTGATATTCGTTATTTGCTCTTAAGTTTACGATAAATTTAATCTTATGTTACTGTTTAATACATTGAAGCCCTATTTGGTTACCGCTGCTGCTGCGCTGACTAACATGAACTTTGCCCAGGATGTGTTCAGAGTAGCAAATGATCTTGCTCAGGAAAGTGAATAATAATTTCATTGTTTTAAAAACAAGGAAATAATTAATTACTTTGAAAATATATATGAAGTGAATTTTGATGAGGTTGGTTCTGGAACTAAGCTAGGACTTTTGGAAGAATTAAATTTACAAGTTTTGCCTTGAATTTTTTATTTTTTGGCTGGAGAGATGTATTATATTTGCATTTTTGAGCCTGGGTAACTTTAATTCCATTTTTATTGTGCAAACCCAAGAGGAACATTTACTTTGTTTTCACTGATTACTTATACAATTATTCTTTTCAGATACTACATGAACCATGAACAATAATATTATATTCCTTGCTAATACATTTTGGCAATAAGTATTTACTTGAAAACACAATACATAATTGTAATGACTTTCTTAACCGAGTACATTGCTGCCACGAAGCAGTCACCTTTTTAAAAAACAAGTAAAATTCATTATCTTTTCTCAATTAGCAAAGCAACTTTTCCAAATGAATTAGTGAAGAAAAAATCTTACCTGTTTTATTCTAATCCAGCTGATTTGCCTATTGGGGAGGAGAGGGAATAAAAAAGGGAAGGTTTAGTTTTAACAAACATGGTACAATGCTAACTCCTATGGGATTAGGTATTGTCCTGACACACTCAGTTTCTCTTCAGTTAGTGTCAAAGTAGAAGTTAGACTCGAAAGCAAAAGCCTTTGATGAAAAAGTGTTCTCAGGACTCTCTTGTGCTTCGAAGTAGAATTTGGAGGCCCAAATTGATACATCCTTTGAATTGCAAACAGTTTAAACAAAAGAATATGTTTTTCCCGTCCCTAAAATGTTTAAATCCCATTATAAATTGAAGACCATATTATGTTATTTGGCACAGAGAGTTGAGTTCAGCCTTGTGTTTCTAAGTGCAAATGTAGTTTTTTTTGGGAAAAATATAATTAACTTTAAATTCACACTTAAATAGCATAGATTTCATATCAGTTTAACTTCTTTCTGCAGGCATACTTTAGTTCTGTTGGTTATTCATCTTATATGCAATGTACAATGATTACTTTTAAGATTAAAAAATGACAATATCTATGCACACACAGAATGACTCCATGTGGGATTTGTAAAATCAGTTATTCCTAATAAAAGACCAAGAATATGAATTATCTTATGCATTGGTGGGGTTCCTGCTTCTAAGGTGCTCAGTATAGCTGACTCTGCTTCTTAGAATGCCTATTTAACACACTTAGGTGGATTATAAAATGCTAGTTAATATTTCTAAGGGTATATGGTTAAGGCTGAAATTCTAGTGACACATAATGTTTTTCTAGGATGTCGGACAACTAATGTCGTCTTTGTCTTATAGGAAGCTTTCATAAGGTGTTAAGATAAATTGTAAATTAATTACAAGGAAGGTTCCCAAAAGCCTTTTCTTTCTCTGATAGTCTAAATGGGGAGTCTCAATAGGGAGATGAAATTTTGTTTTATTTTTGTGGGGTTTTGCTTTATGTTTTTGTTTATTGTCTTTTGAGACAGGGTCTCCCTGTAGCCCCAGCTGGCCTGGAACTCACTGTGTAGATCAGGATGGCCTTGATCTCACAGAAATCTGCCTGCTTCTGCCTCCAGGTGCTGCATCACTCCTGGCTTGGATGGAGTTCTTAAGGAGGAGGAGGAGAAGGAGGAGGGGCTAGAGAGATGGCTCAGTGTTTAAGAGCCAGTGGCTGCTCTTGCAGAGGACCTGGGTTCAATTTCCAGCACCCACATGGTAGCTAACAACTGTCATAACTCCAGTTCCCAAGGATCCAATGCCCTTTTCTGACCTCCTTGGTCATTGCACAACACGGGTGCACTTATATACATGTAGCCATGTGGGTGCTGGGAATCGAACCTGGGTCCTTTGCAAGAGCAGTCAATGCCCTTAACCATTGAGCCATCTCTACAGCTCCTCCTCCCCCTCCCCCTCCTCCCCCTTACCCTCCTCCCCTCCCCCTCCCCTTCCTCCTCTTGTTCCTGCTCCTTAATAATGTCATCCAAGCCAGGCTATGCTTACACTTGATGAGGCCACCGTAGAAAGAGGATGTGATTCTAGAGTGGAAAATGTGGCCAGGGTTAATAGAACCAGTGAAATGTGGTATTCCTAGCACTTACCCTTGATAAAATGTGACCCTTTGTGATCCTACTTTCCAGTCTAGTCGTGACAAAAACAAATCAAACAAACCCACTTTGAGGAGCATTTTATCCAGTCAGGGCTCATCAGAACAGCCAGTCATTAGAAAACAGGGAGAATCTGAGAAACTTTCATAGAACAGAGGAGGGTAAGGAGATGTGATGGCTAATGTAACTCAATATCCAGAATATAATCCTAGAACAGAGGAAAGTGAGTAGAACTGAATAAACTGTGGAGTTGAGTTAACAGTAATGCACCATTTTTGATCAAGAGCCAGGAGAAATGAAGCAGGATATATAAAGAACGCTATCTACTTTTACAAGTGTTCTGTCAGCTTAAAATTATTCCAAGAATTTGTTTTGCAGAAAGGATATTTCAGACTTCAGTCCTGTTCCACATTTCTAGATAGGTTTGGGGGAGGCCATGGGGAGGGGTGCACACATGGTTTGGGAAAAGTGCTCCTTTACTACGTACTGATTACTGGTGATCCAGGTGGCAACTGCATTTGCAGAAGTCCACGTTTTTGCTTGAAGCTGATATTCATGTGATAGATTGGCTTGGTCCTGTGAGCATAGGGTGGAACTGTGGGTTTTTTAAAAAAACCCTTTTTATACTTTGACAATTTTTAAAAATCTTTTTTGAGACAGGGTCTCCCAGTAGCTGGCCTGGAACTATTCTTTGACAATTTTTAAAGTATATGTATTTGGCAGGGGGCATGCCTCAGGTTTATAGAAGTCAGAGGACAGTTTGTAGGAGTGTCTTCTCTGTCTACCATGTAGATCTAGGATCCAAAGCCAATCATCAGGCTGGGCAACAAGTGCCTCTAACTGCCGGGCCTTCTCACCAGCCACTATTCTTCAACAATTTCGTATACATACAATGAACTTTGATCATAATGACCCCTAAGCCTCTAAACTGGTCCAAAAATCCCTAACATGTCCTCCTCCCATGTTCCTGTCCTTTTTCTTTTTTTTCTTTTTTAAATTATTTTTTTAATAACCACATAATCAGAAGCAGAATTTCATTACAACAGTATTGACATATTCAATAACAATTTCCAGAGCTAAGATGCATCTCTATCAAAAATTGGCTGTAAATTTTTAGGTTTACAGTTTAATTATTACAGTTATACAATATTGTACTCAGTATAAACCCTATAAGACATAAATTAAATGATGTTTTAACCTTTAAAAAGATCTCCATCTCATTATTAAAATACACAGTTTCATATAGAAAAATTCTTTTTCAATGCAATTGACATTGGATGTTTGCACATGCATTTCTAATCTCTAAATATCTGATTATTACTAGTCACAGTTGGTTACTTTCTGAGCTTCTAGGCATCTGAGCATGGATATAAAGTCATCAGGTA